AAGCACATTAAGGATTTGTATTAGCAGCAATATGTTGGTAATGAAGAAACAATTTTCTTATTAAGTATGGTTGTAAATCACATTTTCTCTGGGGCCCCAAAACATTAACATTGAAAATTAGATTAGAAGCCTCTCTTCAATAACTCTTCTCTCTTCAAGTCACTCTAATTTATATTTTTAGCACAGGAGCTGACTACTTGTAATTAGAGTTTTACAAAGTTAGTGATCAACTGTAGTAATGCTATTATTCTGAATCAGGAAAAAAAAACTGTAACTCCCTCCTATACTAAGGACTGAAGGGAAAGGGCTCTTGATGTAGCTCAGTGGTTCTTTTGTCTTCTAAAACTTCTACTTTATATCTGGGAATATAGCAAACTCTCTGACATGAACAGAGTGCCATACTTCTCCTAGGACTCTATTTCCAAAAAGATTTGTCTCAATGAGAGCATTTGTCCAAAGCTGTAGTAAGTAGGGTAGACTGACTGCCATGCAATATTATTCTATTTCTGGCATTAATGGTACCTCTAAAAGACTATTTGCTTTCAGAATGACATTTTTATAGCCTTTCTTGCCATCAAACTTTGACTTGTTATCTTTTAGTGGGCAGTTTCTTTTTTATAATCTCTAGTCTGGAATGTTTAAAAAAATCTATTTCAATGGTCCTTCTCTTTCTATCAAAAATATGAATACGTATAGTCTGTCTACTATGCTAGACATAAACAAAAACAGAAACGAAGGGTGGAGAGATGGGACAGCAGGCAGGATGCTTGCCTTGCACTTGCTTGAACCAGGTTCAATCCCGGCACCCCATCTGGTCCCCTGAGCACCTCCAGGAATGCTCCCTGAGTACAGAGCCAGGAATAAGCCCTGAATGCCACTGGGTGTGGCCCCTAAACCAACCAACCAACCAACCAAACAACAACATCAAAAAGCCAAAAATCAAACCAAAAAAAGGGGGTGGGGGTGGAAACTGAAACACAAAAAAACTGATTAATTTGGAATATAACAAGATCATATTATTTCAAAAGACTTCTCTTTTGGCCTTGACTCTGAACCTAAATTTGTGTGACATCCTTTCTGTGTACACACAAAATCATGTCCCTTCTTGTCCACCACTCCCCTTAAGAGCAGTTAAAATAAAAAAAAAATCTCTCCATTGTTTCTACCATAAAACATCCACAGCACACAGGAGGTTCTTAGTCAACCGTATATACTTAATTGTCATACTTGGCAGTGTGGCACTGAGAGTCTCCACATTTCAGTTCCGACCTAATTTCTCGTAACTGTCTTATGTATGACATCTGCTCTAGTTTAAACTCGACTAATCCAAAACATGTGACATGTCTGCCCACAGGACCACACTGATTCTTACATTCTCACAGACTCAAATCTACACAAAAACAAAATCCACCAATATATCAGCTACCCACCCCTCCAATTGTACTTCAAATACTTCCTCCACAAGAACTTTCTATGATCAATTTCTAGCTCTTTCTAATTGATTCTGGGTCAGTACTACTATAGCACACACTCTGTGTATTTCTTTAACTTACATTTCATACATTTTAAAACCCAGGCTGGTCAGCTTTCCTGTTTTTTTTTTTTCAATATGCAATTCATGAGCTCCACAAAACAGTTTATACCAAACAGGAGATCCAACAAGTAATCTTGAAATAAGTAAACATTTAATTATTATGCAAATAGCTATCTTGACAGAGATGACAAGAACTTTAGTCCCTCTACAGAATAACAACTGCCATAATTTGCAGTCACATATCTTTTCAGCTTTAAGAAGAAAAGTCTAAAAAAAAATCTTTCTTTGCTAACAAAACAGAAGCTAACAATTTCATTTGGCCAGATCTTGTATAGGGTATAAGGAATCCTAACAAGCAAGAATTCTCAGTGGCTCAAACTAAAAGTGCACTTACTTCAATGTGTGTCTACTTACAATCGTGTATGTACTAAACTGAAGGCAAAATGTTGCTAAGTAGAGCAAGATAAGGTTAATCAACCCATCTCCTCCTCAGTACTCATTTTTAAAAAAGAATATTCAATGCTGTTAGGGTGATTTAATAACTCTAAATGTCTGACACAGAATAATCTCAGTTCTAAAAGTTGAAATTAAATAAATGCAGGATCCCCAAAACACGATGTTGAGTGACAGAAGCCAGATGCAAAGACCAGGTGTGATTCTTCCATATTTTCTGGAGCCATACCTGGAGGAGGTTAGGGGTTACTGCCTGGGGTATGACACAGTCTCGGGGATTAAATTTGTGCCTCTTGCATAAAAATCATGCTCTGCATACACTTAGCTCACTGTATTATCGTTCCAGCCTCTGATCCTGCTTATATTAAATGTATAGAACAAGGATGAATCGTGAATAGGTGTGAATGTTCTTATTTGTATAATGAACACACTCTAAATCAGATTATGGGCACTTGCCTTGCATGCGGTGAACCTGAGTTTGATCCCCAGCATTCCGTTTGGTCCCCTGAGGACCTCAGGAGTAATTTCTGAGTTCAAAGTCAGGAGTAATCCCTGAGCATCGCTGGGTGTAACCCCAAACACCCTCCACCCCCCTTCCAAATCAGATTATGATGATGGCAGAGAAACTTCATGAATTTACACTTTAAAAGACTGCAGGCTGGAGCGATAGCACAGGGATAGGGCATCTGCCCTGCATGTGGCCGGCCTGACCAACTCCGGTTCGATTCCTCTGCCCCTCTCGGAGAGCCCAGCAAACTACCGAGAATATCTCGCCCATACGGCAAAGCCTGGCAAGCTCCCCGTGAAGTATTCGATATACTAAACACAGTAACAACAAGTCTCACAATGGAGATGTTACTGGGCCCGCTGGAGAAAATCAACGAGCAACAGGAGGACAGTGAAGTGCTACTTAAAAGATTGCATGGGAGTGGGTGGGTTGGGGTCGCACCTGGTGGCGCTCAGGGCTTACTCCTAGCTCTGTGCTCAGGGCTCATTTCTGGGCCTGGTGGGAGACCCACAAGCAATGCTGAGGATTGAACCAAAGCTGGCTGCATGCAAAGGAAGTACCTAAACTGCTGTACTATCTCTCTGGCCTCAAGACTGCATTCTAAAAATAGGGGCCACACCTAGTGGAGATCTAGAGCCTGGGACCATTTCCAGTGATGATCAAGTCCAGCAGCTGAGGGTTCAAGTGTTCTGTGCTAGGGCCAGTGATGTGGTGCTGAGTCCTCCAGACCTCCATCATGTGGTACTAAGGTGCCATGAGCTGCCAGGGATTGAACAGAGGGTCTCACACATGACAGGCACTTTCCTCCTGACTCTCCCCCATCACCAGCATGAACTATCTCTCGGCTCCCAGGTAAGTGAATACCATGACATGTTAAGTTATACTCAACAGAGCTCTACAGAAATGCAATCAAGTGAAGAAGAAACTACTGTGATAACTTGGCAACTCACGAAAGAGCTAAAAATCATTCTAAGTAAAAAGTGAGTGAATAAGTGAACATGTTGTAACATCTGTGGATAGGTTTCAAATGCATTCGCAGCACTATGAGACTCCTAACTGCATATCGTCAATTTAATTCTAGGGTCATTTTTAACTGTACATAACCCTTTGAGAGTTTGTTCCGAGGTACAGTAACAACAAATCTCACAGTAGAGATATTACTGGCGCCCACCAAGCAAATTAACAAACAACGGGAGGACAGTGCTACAGTGCTACATAATCCTTTAAAAATTTCAGCTCCTTCAGTGGGGAAACTAATGGTTCAGGAATATGTTGATAGTCAGGGAACCGTTCATCACTGTCCTCCATTGATTTCACATGTTTCCTTGCTTACCAAGATTCTGGTGGTGGGGAATGTGCACTGGTGGAGGGATGTATGTTTGATCATTATATGAAAGTAATTTAAACATGAAATCTTGTAACTGTATCTCATGGTGATTCAATAAAATAAAATTAAAAAAAAATTCAACTCCTTGGCAAAAGATTTAAGGTGTTTGTCTTGCACACACCACCAGGTGTGATTTCTGAGCTCAAAGACAGGATATTCTCCACCCTCAATCCCTCCCGCAACCCAAAAGAATCTCAACAAGTAACTAGTTGCTATAATGACATTTGATTATGTAATATAAACTGAAAGCTTCCTTTGATTTCATAGAAGTAAAAAAAGGGGGTCTTTTAATTATTTAGTTCACAGCATTCTCAAAGGAACTTTAATTCAACAGAAAATGATGATTGAGATATTAAGGTTCTTTCTACCCTCCCACAAAGTAATGCATAAAATGTGAAGACAATCAAATTACCTTAGTTAAATTTCCCAGCAAAATTAAATATACTTAGCAAATCTTTTTTAATGAAACCTAATGGCAACTACTCAATTGAGATTTATGGAAAACTTTTTTTTTTGTAAGGCAAGCATTCTGCACAAAACTGCATGAGATGCAGGCCTTGCCTTCAAGAAGCTAATCGTTTAGGTCTGTTTCCCAAAGGGGGCAATACTGTGTCCTGAGCGGATGCTGGTATGACCCAGCAGGGTGGTGTTGCCTGAGGTGCAGATGTGGGGGTGGTGGATATGTGGGGTACTGTTTGTTCACTTAATGAAGATAGATTTCTTGGGGAGAAGGGGCACTAGAAAAAGAGCTATTGAGTAGATAACAGTGGGCAGGTGGTGAATAAGACAACAGACACTAAAGCAGACACCCTCTGCCAAGGAACTTCAGTTCCAGGGAGCACAGTTACTTAGGTATGTCCAGTGTGACAATGTCTGGTTAGATGAAACTTTGCAGACCAAGGCCAGTACTCAGTCAGGGTTTTGCTTCCTTGCAGTGAATCGCAGGACTGCTTTCAAAGATCCCCCAACGTTCCGTAAGCATAAGAAGACTTACGATTTGGAATTTGGGGGTTTTAAATGGGGAAGGCAAGGGTGGTAGGACGGAGAGAAATTCAAACTCAAGGATGCTGCCTGGCTCTTGCAAAGGGAAAAGGGAACCCCCGCCAATGGTAGGTTACCTCGGACCACCTCTTCCACAGACTCTGTGGTGGTGGTGGTGGTGGTGGCGATGCTGGTGGTTCTTTCGGTGGCCTCTTCGTAGGGTTCCTCAGCTTCTTCCTCCACCTCATCCCCTTCCTCATCATCCTCATCATCTTCGGCTTCTTCTTCCTCAACATCAGCCACTTCTTCTTCCTCGGCTACTTCCACTACTTTGTCATCGCTGGAGCAGGAAACATAAAAACACAGTAAGAGACATTTTAAACCAATTCCACGACAGGAAAAAAAACACCCCCAAAAACAGACAAGATTTTTGGCTAATCAGAGGGTGAATGTGCCCTCCGAGGGAGGGAAACACATACACACACACACAAACATGCATGCACACACACACAGACACACACATATATTCACACATGCACACAGATGTGCATGTGTGTGTATACTCACATGCACGCGCGTGCGCGCGCGTGCACACACACACACACACACACACACAGAAGCATGAATCCAGCAGGTTAGAGCCCGAATCCCAATTCAACTGGGGCTGTGTCTGTCCGTCTTAGTTTACACATTTGCAAATGCAGAATGTCTGGGTTTCCAATTATCTGACATCCAGGAAAATGCAACATGATGAACACCACAGTGTGAGCAGCTGCCAGGATGAGGGATGAACAGAGCACCAAGGGCATTTGGAATAGAGCTCGGGGCAGGAGAGATAGCACCAAGAGTAGACTACGTGTGGCTGACAGGTTCAATCCGTGGCTCCCTGTAGGGTCTCCCAAGCCCCTCTAGGAGTGATCCCTTGAGTGCAGCTGGGGCTGGCCAAAAATCAAATCACAAATCACACAATCACAAATCATCCTGTTATTCGTCGATTGCCTCGAGCAGGCCCCAGTAAAGTCTCCTTCATCCTAGCCCTGAGATTATATTCAAGGCTCTTTAGGAGAATGAGACCCATCATTGTTACTGGTATTTGGCATATTGGGTACGCCACGGGGAGTTTGCCAGACTCTGCCGTGTGGGCAGGCTACATTCGGTAACCTGACAGTTTGTCCAAAGTAGGAATGAGATAATAAGATTTCATAATAAAATGTTTCCGGGAACTGGTTTTCCTAGTCTCTGAGTCTTGGCTGTTGATGGGATTACACAGCGCCAGGGGGCCAGTTGGTGGGTGTGACCCCCGCCTACTGGAATCTGGAGGATCTGGGTGGAGGATGCTCGGCCCAAATCCGAGTAGGCTTGGAGATCTCGGCCCCGGAACCCATCTCCTGCCCCTGCGCCTGACTGTCTTCGCTCACTGGGACCCTTTGGAGGGGAGCGGGTTGAGCTTTCCTCCCCGCCCCGACCAGGGCTCTGGCAGCCAAAGACCTCCAGGACCAGCCACCACCATGCTGAGACCACTCTCCGCACACATGAAGGTACTGGCAGAGGGACAAAGTCACGCGGGTTCCGGGGCCGAGATCTCCAAGCCTACTCGGATTTGGGCCGAGCATCCTCCAAAAATCAAATATTTATAAAAATTTATATCCCCACCACCTTGCCCCCTTACTTGAAAAAGCAATTAATTCTGTTTAATATGAACAGTATCACAATAATACACTGCTATAAATATACTACATTATACATTTGCTCAAATCTGCAGAACTGTGTAGCAGAAAAGGAGACCAATGTAGTCTACTGTAGACAATAAGATTTAATGCTAATTTGCTAATATTGGAACAAACTATGATATATAATTTCAAATGATAATAATGGGGTTAGCAGAGGGGTGCACAGAGAGAATTTGTAGGTAAATCTATACTTCCTGCTGAAAATTTTTTCTGGGTTCACATCTAGAGATGCACAGGCTCACTCCTCGCTCTTTACTCAAGCATTAATCCTGGCAGTGCTCAGGGGACCATATGGAATGTCAGGGATCAAACCCGGGTCTCCTTCATACAAATGCTCTACCCACAGTACTAACATTCTAGCCCCCTGCTCAATTTTTTTCCATAATACTAAAACTGGCATAAAAATAGAATTTTACTTTTAAAGGAGGACTGGGAAAGAGACACTCAAAAAATGAATTTATTGTTTTACAGAGATTACTTCTTTTAAGGCACTGGGGAATACTACACAGCACCTACCCCGAAGAGATATTGGTTGTGATACTGCTACTGAAAGCTTAATGGATTGATACCTGTGAGGACCACCGACATGGCTTAATTAAGACAAATTGCAACATGGAGTCAACATGTTAAGCTGGAAGTGAAGAGGGAAGAAGAGATCCACTGAAGTGACTGGAATATCCAGCAGCCAGGGAAGTCCATTGTGTTCCCCTGTCTTTGCTAATTGTAAAACCCAAACACTGAAATGGCCCTCACATTTCTGCAAGTATCAGAACCATCTGGAAGGTGTATGAAAACGCTGATCACCAGGCATCCCACTGGAACCACAGTTTCTTCTGAATCAGAGGACTGAGATGAAGCCCGAGACCCTGCACTCTAAGAAGTTACCAGGTGATGCCGCTACTGGTGGCTGGGAGGCAGTAACATCAGGAACCAGAACAAAAATCCAACAACACTGAAGCCATGGGATCTAAGTTGCAACCACTGAGCTTTTAAATATGCCTGTCAAGGTGGCAGGTGGGGGTGGGGCGGCAATGGAGTATGGGGAACACTGGAGGGGGGAAGCTGACACTGGTCGCGGGATTGGTGTTGAAGTATTACATGCTTAAAACTCCACTATCCACAACTTTGCAAGTCACGGTTCTTTAATAAATAAATTATGATAATTTATTGTGGAAACCATGCAGCGGGCAATGCAGATATTGTCAAGAGTATCTGATAATCAGTGAAGACAGGAATATGAGTGTTAAACAGTCTATCACATGCATCTGGCCAGATCAGAGAAATATGTTTGTTCTCTGATCAGATCATGAAACCGTTCTAAGAAAAAAGATGTCGAGGTAGACAGAATATAGAGGGGAATCTGACCGACAGGGAGAAGAGTATTACTGACGGAAGTGACAGGACAATGAAAGGCTGAGAACCTGGGGAGTCCTGTCAGCCACAAGCTGGATGTGAGCTGGGCATTGGAAAGGAAATCTGACTTCAAGCAGGTCAGAGAAAGAGAACAGCAGAGTTCCGTGGACTGGGAAGGCAGATAGGGAACTGGCCAAAGGTTCAAAACCTGAAAGTCGGCCCCACAGATACAAGTTAATTATGCTGAGAAAATATATAAAGCAGAATACATGTGAATACGTAAGTAAATGTGAATACGTAAACAGATGAATCAAACTGAAGGAATTCCCTGATTAACTCAAGTGAAGGAACTTTGATAAACGCTCTAGACAAATGTATGTGACTCCTGGTGAACATATATATATATTATATTTTTATATTTTTTATTGAATATATGAACATATATTTTTTATTGAATCACCGTGAGATAGCTTTCATGTTTGGGTTACAGTCACACAATGATCAAACACCCATCCCTCCACCAGTGCACACTCCCCACCACCAATATCACCGGTATAACCCCCCCTCCTTTCCCATCCTTCCCCTGGCTCCATGGCAGACAATATTCCCCATACTCTCTCTCCACTTTTGGCCATTATTTTGCAATACAGACCCTGAGAGGTTATCATGTTTGGTCCTTTATCTCCTTTCAGCACACATCTCCCATACAGACCGATTCCTCCAGCCATCATTTTCTTAGTGATCTCTTCTCTATTCCAGCTGCCTTCTCCCTTTTGCTCATGTGGCAGGATTCCAGCTATGGAGCAATCTTCCTATCCCGTGTACCTACTATCCTTCGGAGTCAGCCTCGTGCTATGTTGTTTTATACTCCACAAATGAGTGCAGTCCTTCTGTGTCTGTCCCTTTCTGACTCATTTCACTTAGCATGATACTCTCCATGTCCTGTGAACTTTCAATTCGGTCTCATGCAAGAATGATAACGAACACATCCAAGGATGTTGATCAATATGGCAAAAGAAAATACAGAGGAACACTGAATAGCAGAGCATTAATGATAATAAGAATCCTTGTGTTAATAAGTGTTAGTGCACAGAAGACTCTAACCAATTAAAATCAGGAAAAAGAGAAAATACATATAATGATAATTACTTGACACTAACTCTCACCTCTGCTGACATAAATGAAGTGAAATTATTGTTCTTCTGATGCCTGCACAAAATCTACCACTTGTGGCAACATTTCAAAAGAAAACCCTCAAGTTCACAGCTGCTCAGCTGCTCCATATTTCCCCCCCTGAATTCTACCTCTCCATTTCTTTTCCAGCAATATTGAGGTTGGCAAGCTACCGAGAGAATCTAACCCGCACGGCAAAGCCTGGCAAGCTACCCGTGACATATTCTATATGCCAAACACAGTAACAAGTCTCACAATGTTACTGGTCCCGCTCGAGCAAATCGATGAACAATGGGAGGACAGTGACAGTGACATATTGAGGTTGTCATTGGCCAATTTATAGTGCTAAGTTCCCTTCTGTGTTCCATCAACTCATAGGTACTGGTGCTATTTAGTTCTCTATTTAAGGGGAAAATTCAGGAAAAGGGTGAAAAATCCAATCAAACCAGTTTTCTCTTTTCATCACAGTGTGTGTGTGTGTGTGTGTGTGTGTGTGTGTGTGTGTGCTGTCTTGTGGCGTAAATGGAGTGATAAGGTCCATGCATGTGTGCCAGAGCTAAGAGTACTGTGAATCCAGGTGGGAAAGTAAAATTATACCCCCCGAGATCTCTTCCCCTGCTCCCCATAGCCTTCCTCCATTTCCTTTATAATACCTTTAGCATTGCACTGAAAGTTCCAAAGAGAAAGAATATTCGTGATCAAGAGAGCCATGTTTAAAGTGATCTGCATTCTGGTATGTGTCTAGCTATGAAAAAGAATAAAATATATGCCCATCATCCATCATAGCATCTGCTTGAGCAATTTACTGGTATAATAGCAAGGAAGAGGGAGACATAATAGTTCAACTGGCCGAGGAATTAAATTACGTGGTCTCAGCGATCTCAGGTCCAGTTCTTATTACTATGGCTTTGATTTCTGGAATTCAATTCAGATGTCCATAAATTCAATTACCTATTTGAACACTGTTAGTGGTGCACAGTTATGTTTTAATGAAGACAGATCTTTGTCAAACATGCCAACTTCCCATCACAGTTTTCCCATCTACCAGGAAACATGGAAAATGGGAAGAAATTACTCTTCTAAC